TGAAAGAAACCTAGAATCAGCTGCAGCTGCAATCGCCTATACTCTGGAGAAGCCTTGGCGCATGGCGGCCTGCCATGTGATGTCGATGCGAGCCACATCAATGGCCCCCACCTCGTGGTGCTGCCACCCCTCTAGCATGTGCACGAGCCCCCCCGCATGGCATGCATGCACCACTCCCCGCTCCAGTTGAAGCTGGGTGAGGATGAGGGCGGGGGGAGGGGGAGCGCAGGGGGCGGGAGAGGAGGGCATGTAGATTGAGTACGGGTGAGCTTCAGATATGTGTGGCTCTGCTCTGCATTCCCCTCCAGGTCCCCCCTTTCCCCCCTGCCCCAACCAGCAACCAGTTCACACCCTCTGCCCCCCCACCACTCTCTCACCTCGCATGTGTTGAGCCCTTCAATGTCTTTGGGAAGTCTCATAGCAGCCAGCTTGCCATACACACAGTCCCCCCTGACTTCGTCCAGCGGGGGCACCACGAACTGGTGGAAGAAGGTGCCCTTGGGGGCGTGGCTCTGCTGCTTGGCCGTCAGCCACTTGCCCACGATCCACTCGCGGCAGTGGGAAGCCTGCTTGCAGTCGGTGACTTGCACCAGTAGGTGCTGCTTGTCTGCTGGTGCCTCTGAGCGGATGGACTCAAACCGCTCCTTGGAGGTGGTAAGCATCTGTGGGAGGGGCGTGTGGGGTGGGGACGTGGGTTGGGGGGGAGGAGAGTGGAGGAATGGGGGACGATGAGGAAGCTTTCAGCACTTGCACAGGATTAACTCGCGGGAGTGCGCTGCCTGCTTGCAGTCTGGCACTTGAATCATTCCTTGGAGGTTAAGAGCATCTGTTGGGAGGCATTCCGGGTGGGATGGGGAGTGTGGGGTGGGATGGGGAGTGTGGGGTGGGATGGGGAGTGTGGGGTGGGATGGGGAGTGTGGAGTGGGATGGGGAGTGTGGGGTGGGATGGGGAGTGTGGGATGGGATGGGGAGGTGGGGTGGGGAGTGTGGGGTGGGGTGGGGAGGTGGGATGGGGAGTGTGGGGTGGGGCGGGGAGGTGGGGTGGGGAGGTGGGGTGGGGAGTGTGGGGTGGGGTGGGTAGGAACACCTCCTGGGCGTCGGGGGAGATCTCCTGCAGGATGACGGTTGTTGTGAGCGTG